CCTGAAAAACTATTAGTATGTGAACATTTGCTTCCAGCTCCTTTGTGGCTATCTCTATTACTGCAGTTAGAGGTGGGGTGGGTGTCGCTTTAATTTGCATTAATTTACATTGTTGTATTTTGTTGGTTTACATTGTCTCTACAATAATAGATTGATTTTATGTTTTTATTAAATATTTTATGAGCTTGATGATAACTTAAGTTAATAAAGAAAATTATTTGGTTTAACATTCCTTACAAAGCTATAAAGAAAGTGGGAGAAAGTTTTTTTTTTTTTTTTTTTTTTTGTTTTGTTTTTGTTTTGTTTTTTCTCCCACTTATAGCTTTATAAGACCAAATAATTTTCCTTTTTTTCTGCTGGTATTTTTCTTTGTTTTCCCAGTTTTTAAAACCATATTTGCTACATAACAGCTCTTCTTCAATGTTGCTTTATACTCCAGTGCTTGCATGGTCAAAAACACCTGTTACTAGAATTCATAAACAACCTGTCACATATATTTTTCAGTTTGCTTAAAATGGCCAATATATTCATATACATTGGAGTATTACTCTTTCTGTATGACTGGTATACTTCTTTAGTGAGATCAAATTTGACATTGGGGAAATCTTTTAAATTTGTTTAATTTCCATGCCAAAACACAGTTTTATAATTTCCTTTCTGATTTTATCTGTCCTTCTGTCATTGCAGCCCCTGAGAATCATTGACTAGAGTATTGTTACACAATTGAGTCAATTGCTAACAGATAGGCAGTAATATTTGAGATCTTGCTTTACTTCCTGGCAGGTATAAGGTGAAAACTTTTGCAGAAATAAGTGATGTTACTGTAAAATTAAATTTAATTTACACTAATATAAGCAGTATGTGAACAGATGGCACTTCAGTTAAGTAACCAAGTCAGAAGAAATCATGCCTATTAAATTACCATATAAATGTAATTTAGAGCTTTAACCATAACTCAGTGGATTAAATAAGACATTTGTAAGATTTATTTTGATGAGAAATTTGCATATATAACAGATTACAACTTTAAGTATTATCAAGTCTATTTGGATTATGCCTAGTGTCATAATGCTATAATTTAGCACTTGGTGATGTTCAAACTCATTGTTTGTGACTTGAGAAATCAAATATGCCTCAGTAGTACTCAGTAGTTATTATTGCTATGTGTAGGTGAGAAAATTTGTGTTTTTCACATTCAGCAGATTGAGTTTGTGCTTATTTAGCTGCTCATATGAGTAGAAATAACTTTCCTTACACAAGTCAAAATGATTTTCATAATCGTCATTAGGATATTGATTTCTTTAAATTCAGTTTATATTCCTAATCTAGCATAGTTTTCTTTGGATTTTCGTTGTAGTTAAAATATGATATATTCTAAAGAGTTTAATGTAATCTACATACCTTATGTTTATGTGTAAAGAATTTCTAATGCAGTGTATTTGATGGCATATATAAGAGGCATGAACATATACAGACTTCACTTTCAACAGCAGGTAATCTTCAAGAATTGATGTTTCTTCAAAGCTGTTGCAGGACCATTATTTGAATTATGTATTTTTTTTTTTTTTTTTTTAGCGTAAACAATCTTTGCTAATCAGCATTGCAAATAATACTGCAAACAAGAAAAACAAAATGAAAAATATTCAAATTTTAAAAGAATTAATATTAAAACCCAAAGATAAGTATCAGCAGAAGGTGTACTTTATATCTTCTGTGTTTCTGAAATTGACCATAATATGAGCTATGTTGCTTATTTTCTTTTATCTTCAAGGTTGAAATCTGACAAAAATATAACAGTTCAACAAAAAAAAAAAAATATCTGAATGAAGAAACACTAGAATGTTTTGGGCCTAGTAATCCTTTTGTGTTCAGGATTGCAGCCAAAAAAAATTTGAGAAACTGCAGTCTATGAACCATAAGGGAAAAAGTGAGGTTTATATTGTGCGTGCATGTGTTCTTTTCTTCAAGACAATGGTGACAAATATACTGATTTGCTTGGCTCATTCTCAGCAATATGTGCTACACAGATGATGATTTTACTTTTATATATGTGGGGATGCTCACCAGTTATTTCTTAAAGCAAAGAAATTCACTCCAACTTATACATTTGTCTGTTATGTTAATATCTGCTGCTTCCTTCAATTTTCTCATCCTCCAGTTGTATTCTGTATCTATTATCTCTCAGTAGGACTTTCATACCAGACTATGAACATAGCTTTCTTATATTTGTTGAGTCTGACTTTTAAGAGAATTTTTTTTGTGGTTTCCAAATGGAAAAAATAGCATTAAATAAAAAGCTGTGATGTTAGTAACAATTAAGCACAAATCAATTAAACCTGTAGTTAGCATCAACAGTCAATGAGTTGATGTTCAGTCTGAGGAAGCAGTGTTTAACAATGAACTCTGGTTTGAAACCAACTTGTAAATGTCTTTAGAGTTTCATAACCTCACTAGAGGATGTAGACTGTAAGCTGCCAAAACATCAGACAGATGAATTAAGATGGAAACTGAGACATGTTTTTAAAATTTAATATTTCAACAGAATATGAAGGAAGAAAAATGAGCATTTCCATCTCTGCAGAAGTATTTTCATGGTTTCAGAAAACAAAAGTCTGGTAGATACAAAAAAGAAAACAAAACTTTTAATTTGTCTCTAGAGAGGAAATTGTCTAATCCTTAAAAAACAAAAACAAAAAAATAATTGCTTTATGTCTAAAAAATACAAATTGTTGATTCAAGCCAAAACATCCTCTTAAGACTCATGCCAAACTGCTTTGGTCAAGCCAATTATCAAATTATGCTTGGCCTGATATGTAATTATGGTTTACACTTTCCTCTTATGATCTTTAACATTGACAATTTTTTCTAGAGTTCATGTCACAATCTACTGTTAAAGCTGTTAGATGTATAGATGATATTTTATCTACTTCTTGTCACCAAATTTATAAAAGTTATATTCAATTGTATGAGTTCAGTTATACCATCTCTAGTTCATGATGGATAAAGAGAAAAACTTCCATTTTTAGATGTTGTTATCCCTTTTGTGTTAAAGTCTGAGTTTGCTGTGTTTGACATCAGGCAAAGACCATTGATCCTGAAAATCTTTAGTAATACCTTCCGAAGTAAAAATGGTCTATCCTATATTTTAAAACTGGAATTAGGTGTAAATCCCCTCCCCAAAGACTTTATGCAGTTACAACAAGCATATCGTGTAAGAAGTGTGGTTGAAAGAATCCAAATGATTTGTAGGTGTTACAACATCAGAATGGTTTATAATAATACAACCAATCTTTGCAAACTCTTTCTACAGTTAGTAATTCATAAGAGAAGTGGATAAAAAAATACTGCAATTATATCATCTGATGTAAATGTAGGAAAGATTAAAGAAACCGACTGTTCCATAAAAGACTTGTGCTACTTTAGAAAGCCATATTCAAATAGGAAGAAGAGTTTGATATACCTGGCCCTTTCTGAAGAGAGTTAGGTTTACATTAGGACAAGGTTGGAGAAAAAGATAGGGAACACTGCTGGAAAGTGAGAAAATTAAGGAAAGCAGTAGACATGTAAACTCTATAAGTTAGGTCCATGTGGTTTTCAGCATTGTTTTTGCTTAGAGGGAGAATTAAAATATTTCCTGAATATATTAGAAATACCTGTATTACATGAGTGGTTATGAATATAAACCATGGGGCTTGAATTGCTGTGTATTAGGTATATTTTTTTGTTTGCCATCTGGTTCTATTTTTTAAAAGAAAAAAAAAAAGCCTCTCTATATCCTTACAGATTGTAGACCAAGGGCAACCAAAGCAACCAAAAGGAGTTTGTTTATCTGAAAAACACTTGGAATGCCAGTGTCTCTTCTCAAAATTCATAAAAAGTATTCTTGTTCATAAAATTAAAAAATATCTTTGCAGTTTTCTTAATTTGAAATATACTAAAGTTTCACATTGTTAAAAGAATAAATTACTGATTCAGCAGGTAGAATTTGTTTCCAAATATTTTTTTGCTCATGAAACATAAAATTACATGTTCAATCAAATGCCATACAAATTTTTGAATAAATTGTTATACAATATAAATACTCTGCATTGCACTTATTGTTATAAAAATGCTTTGTGATAGATAATCATGAAAATGAATTTGCTGTTTATAACTCAAAATATAACAAATAATTTGAAAATGTAAAATTCTTAATTGCTTTAATGAATTAGAAAGCTTCTCAGGTATTTTCATATACTGCACTCAATACATTAATCATGTATGCTATCCACAGTGTTTATGCTCACTCCTACCTTACCTTTCTTTAAATCTTTATGGGATTGGAGAATGGGAAATTCAGAATTACTAAAATAACATGAAGTAAAACAAGCAGTTTAATCATTTTTTTTTAACATTGCATCATAAATCTAACTTAGCTGTACAATATTATTTTGTGAATTTGTACAATTGTGTGATTTGATAGAATAAAAGCTTTAACCAATTTTCTTTTTCTCATAAGTTTTATTATTGTACATAAAAAGTAAGGGTAGCAGTTTTGGTTTGCCTTTTTTTTCTTAGTATTTGTCACTTTTTAATATTGTGAAGATAAATCTAGTATGAATACTTTATTCTCATTGATGCTTTTACACTTTACTAATACAATGGATATTTTTCTTTTTTAACCTATTATAAATATACCCACAATAAAATAAAAAGAACATTTTAGAAATTTCATGAATGTGGAAATCAGTATTTTATGTAAGTATTTAAATTTAATTTTTCACATGGAACCTATAAATTTCTCTTTAATATCAAACTTGAAATCTGAGAATTTTACATTTGTAATAGCATCAATGATAATTCATAAAATTATAATTTCTAATTGTGAAAAATACATCAACTTAAGCTAGATTAACCCAGTGTAATTAATTTTGAAAACTGGAAAAAATGTCAACATTTTTTTTCCTTTAATAATTGAGATTTGTTCTTGGACATGTTTTTTTCTGCTTTGTGTTTTTTAGCTGCAGAATGATGAAGTTACAGGTCAGAGTGAATTCATCAAACAGTATCTTGAACAGCAAAAGAAGTTGTTTGAAATGCAGAGAGAAGTGAAGAAAAGAGTGGAAGGTAAGAATTCTTAAGAATTTTAACTGGATCTTTATATATAATGTTATTTTTCTCCATGCCATATGTTTTGAATGTATGATAAAATGAAAAATCAATTTTTATATGGTGTGCATGCTGTGGAAGAGAAAATCTGTATTGAACAGAAGGCAAATACAGATTAAGTTACATGACTAATTGAATCCAATCAGTAAAAATCGGTTTTAATCAAACTTTCTGATGTTAAAAAATTATTTTTCTTGATATTTGTTTGATGCAATTGAAGAGAAATGAGTCTTATTGGCAATATGATCTGGAAGAAATAACTTTTCTTTTTTGATATATCCTCATTTGTAAGTATTATCTTATGCAGTTTCTTCTGGTCATTTCTCCAACCATTTTTAGGTGGCATCTTTAATTTTGTTTGTTCTTTGAGAAAATAAAAATCTTATTCTAGACTGGCTTAAAGATAAAGGCAGTATGAACAATTAAAAGATTAAATTTATTGCTAATTATTTCTGACAAATCATTGACAAACTGTCAGAATGAGCCCACACCTCTCCACCCACTTTCATACTTAGCATTGGTGTCCCCACAGATGTATATTAAGCCCTCTATTATACACCATCTACATTTGTGATTGTGCCCTATCCATCCCACCAACATGATTATTAAGTTTGCAGTCAACACTATTGTGATTGGACTTATTTCAAGGGGTGTTGAGGCAGACTACAAGAGTGAACTAAAAAGATTGGCTGTGTAGTTTGGAGAATAGCATGTCTTTAAACACCTTAAAGACAGAGGAGCTTGTGGGGGTGGACTTTGGGACAAATGCTGCAGCAACTGTCCCTTTGATTATTGGCAAGGTTTGTATGGGGAGGGTGGATAATATTAGTTTCTGGGCATGTGCATTGCAGAGAATTTTTTCTGGACTAGCAATATCATTTGGTAGTCAAGTAACTGCAGTAGCGGCTCTATTTACTGAGTCTAATGAGAGTATGCTTACGTACTGGATCACTGATATGCCATCTGCTTGGCAGTAGACAAGAATCCACCAGAGTATTATAGATGTTGCCCAGAAAATAATCAACTGCTTGCTCTTCTTGAACAACATTTTGTTTTTGCAGTAGAACAGAACACATACTGAAAGACAGCACACATCATGGGTGCCACTTGTTTGAACTGTTACCCTCAAGATGCTTGAGGGGGTAATTTTTATCCTTGGGCCTTGCATAAAATGAATGTTGCCAATTTTTAATGTTATTATTTTTCATTTTGTGTGTGTATATATCTGGGAACTGCTGTCCAATTTTATTTCATTGCCTTGCACAGTAGTAAGAAAAATAAAATAAGAAAAATGGATCTAAAGAGCAGAAAAACTTAGTTGTCATGGAAATGTCATATCACATTGATTTTTATATCAGTTTAAAATAAACAAAACACTCATTACATTGAAATTGTTTTGGAAAAGAAGATTGTAAAAATGATGGCATTACCTCAAACACTATAAAAATAAAAACAAATGAGGATAGAATGCTGATTAAAAAAAATAATAAAAATAAAATTATTTTTGTGTTATTTTTACTTGGCTTTCAGATTTTCTGTTTTCAAGTGCGTTTTGAAGATAACTAATAAAAAAAAAATGAAGTATTTTATACAAAAGCTCTGAATACCTGCTTTATAAATTATATAATTATGACACAAAATCTTAAATTTACTGGCTATTTACATGTTTTGTCATTTCTCAAATTACCAAGCAATAATGTATCCAACTCACATTATTAAGCCTCAGTATTTGAAGAAAGGCATGATCTTAATGGCTATAAATTTGATTTCTAATCTCCTAAAATCTTAAAATTAAATTTCCCTGCTTCAGAATTTTTTTTTCTATCTGAATGTCATCTGCTTTTTTCTTAGTTCATACTTAGGATGAACTGTTAAAAATAATATTGGTCATTACATGAGCATTTTCAAACTATTGAAGATTTCCTAACCTTTATGCCAATGCAATTTTAGTGTTATGCATCTAATAAGAATAAACATCTTGGTAACTTGGAAAAGTAGGATTTCATTCTGATAATGCAAAATGATTTTCATCTTGTTTATCAATTATTTTATTTTGGTAAAGACAGATATATCAGTATGTGAGTTGACATAAAACTACGAATTTATTAGAGAACAAGGGGCTTTATTTGAGGGCATGGGTGAGAATGACCCACTTCCCTAAATCTGACCAAAGGATTAAGTGTTAGATTTTTAAAAAATTCTTTTGATAAAGAGCTTGTTTGGGGTGAGAACTTTTCAGCATACATTTTGGAATATTGGAGGAATGGAAAGACTAAGATTACTTTAGACATTCTGTTTTGTTGAAACCTCAGATTGTCTCCCCTCTATCCTTGTTTCATTTTATAACAAATATCACTAAATATTGTCAGTAAAGTGTTTTTTTTTTTGTTTTTGTTTTCCCCAACAAGAAATTTACTTGAAATTTCTAGATGTAGTGACTCCCCCCTCCTCTCTCTTGTATTCAAGATGATAAAGGCACTATTTTGGTCGCCATATGTTATAAATAATAATTTTTCCCTACTCATATATTTGCATTCTGTTTCCTTTGGAAAAAAAATGTAAATATATGACTAGGGGAAAATTTATATATAAATGTATTTGTTTTGAAAAATATGAATCTAACATTTAGAAAGTTAATTAAATGACGTATTTTTACAGATTAGACTTGGAAATCTTTGATAACTTTATTTTTCCTATGGATTTCAAATGAAATGTATGTTTCTTGGGCAAATTTATCCCTCTTCCTTTCCTCTTCTCCCTCTTTATATATAAATATGCATACATACACACAATCCTGCAATATATGGTTATTGGATATCTTTTAAGAAAGATGTGAGAACAATAGCAATATTTTTTTTTCTTACAAAAGTATAGAATTATTTTGTTAACTGTAACAAATTATTTTATAATCTTTTAAATAAATATTCTTATAATTCACTATAATACAAGATTATAAAAAAAAATGTGGACAAACTACAATGAAAAATTTATTATTTAACATGAAGAAATAACTGAATTTTTTTATGAATGTAGCTGAACTATAAAATAAAAAAATAAATCAACACAATGATGAGTAATAACTTTTTTAAAATCGCTTTTTCTCAATACTTTCATTTGCTCTCATCACAAAAATTCACTAAAATGGGTTGAGAGCATCTTTTCCTCTGAATCAAACATTCTTTTAAAACCACAAACACTCAATATTTTGAGTGTGCATCTCCCTATTCAATGAATAAATAATGTTTTCCTTATGTATAATTGCAGAATCTCATTTTTACCAGGTATTTGGAAGATACTGCTATATGATGTCCAACCACCTGAAATAATGAGTTCCTGATAAAATATGTTCTTCATTTGCAATGTTAATGTTGCCATATCTGCAATTCCTTGATCAAAACACCTTCCAGAGTCTCTTTCAAACCCCCACTCCCCACAGTGCAAACCTTCCTCTGTTGTATTTTCTCTTTCCAAAATAGGTTTTGTCCACTTCAACAACCCTGTAGCTGTCACCAACTTTAATTGGGTTGTAAGACAAGTGTTCTTCACATTCCTTCCTGCAGTTCCTGGCCAATTCAACACTATTATTACCATTTGCAATTCCAGCCTCAGCATCTGCAACCTCCTACAGTATATTTTTCTCTGAGTAAATATGATCACTTCTATGGGATTCAATCTTAGGGGATTTTGAATAAAAAAAGAAAAAAGGCAAACAAATGGTCTTACAGATCTATTTATTTTTTGTGCATGGATTTCAGTTGCATATATATTTGTCTAATTTTAGTATTCAATCTAAACTGATTAGTAATTGGGCAATATTTGACCAGTCATTTCAAAGTGCATAATTTGCTGGCTTTGCTAATTGTATTGGTCAAAGTGTTGGATGTCCACTCTTTTTCAAAGCTCTTCAGCAGTCATCACTTGACTGCTAATAGATAATTTATCAGCATCTTTTTTTAGGCAAGCTATTTATGAAATATTTACAAAAATTAGCAATGATTTTTTTTTCATTTTTTTAAAATATGATTTTGAAAGAGAAGGAAAGAGATTAACCCCTAATTGGTGTTTCAGAATAGTGGATACATTTTTTTGAGGGTCACTTTTCTCTTTTTGGATAAGTAGTTCATTTCTATCAATTAGCAATCCTAGATCATGATATCCCCACGCCTGGTCTACTGTTTTAAAAATTTTACAAAGAGGGTTCAATTTGAGATTTTGAAAATGTAATTGTTCATTTTACAATCAATGTATCATATTAGGGAACTGGACCCTCCTCCTTTGGGAAAATTGAAACAAGAAGTAATGTGAGGTAGTTACAGTTAATTCCAAGAGAAAAAAAATGTATAAATTGAGTTTCTTATGATATGGTTTTATTAAAATTTTAAAATTACCTTTTTAAAACCATAATAATTACTGCATTATACAATAATGAGTGTCAAGAAAAAGACTCTCTTGACACACCATTTTCTTTGCCTGGTCCTAAGTTAAACTAAATATTTTAGTATTTATAATAATGAGATCTAAGATAATTTGACAACGAGTAACATAAGGAATGAATGGTATTGATAAGGATAATGATGGTTATAATCTTATATAAATGCCATTGTCACTTGTTTATTGGGTCTTCTCTCTTTGACAAGAGGATACAGAGAAAAGAAAAAGACGGTACTGCAAACAGCCAATATTAGCTCTGTGTTTTGTGTGCAAACTGTTAGAGATGTCATTGTTTCTACTGGAGCAGGTGTTTTACTTTTGTTGTCATTTAAAATTATTTAAATAACAGAAAATATGAAGCTAAATTAGGTACCTCCACGAAATCGCTAAAAAAAGAGCATAGCTTGATGAAAAATACGCCAACCTTGCCGAAAACAAAATTTTATTGTCTAAATGCTTATGTTATTATTAAGAGGAAAGACCAAAGTTTTTTTTTAATTATTTTTAAAAATGTTTCCTACTTTTTA